CAGCCCAGATTGTTCTTGGAACCCTGGCACTCCTCCTGCCTCAGCCTCCTGAGTGCTGGGACTACAGGTGTGAGCCACCATGCCCAGCTTTTTAAAAAAATATTTTATTTATTATTTTTATTTTATGTGTATGAGTGTATTGCCTGCATGTATGTGAGAGTACCCGTGTCGTGCAATGCCAGAGGCCAGAAGAGGGCTTCGGATTTCCTGGAACTGGAGTTAAGGACGGTTATAGCCGCCATGTGTGTGCTGGGATTAAACCTGGGTCCTCTGCAAGAGCAGTCAGTGCTCTTAACCACTGCGCTGTCTCTCCAGCCCTGCCCTGAGATTCTGTCAACCTCTTGAAACTGGTAAGCAAACCTAAAGTTTACGAAAAGTCTCTTGAAGAACCAGATGGTAGCTTTCCAAAGTTTTGAAACTCTAAATTTACTTACAGCAATTGGCTGATTTAAGAAAAAGGGGCTTTATAGGTCTATAGTTAGCCCCCAAATTCTATTCAAAGGTCCTTTTTAGCAAATAAAATGAAAGGAGAAGTTAAAATAAAATTGGTTACTTTCAGGAGATGGGTCTCATTAAAGAAATAATGACTATATAGTGCTTCCAAACATCTCGGGCTGGGTATGATGGCATACACCTTTAATCCCAGCACTTGAGAGGCAGAGGCAGGCGGATCTCTGTGAGTTCAAGGCCAGCCTGGCCTACATAGGGAGTTCCAGGTCTGCTGGGGCTACAGGGAGACCCTGTCTCAAAAAGACTGAAAAAAAACCAAAAAACAAAAAACCCCCCACATCTCAGGCCTCTGAAGCTCTGTGGCTGTTATATTTTCTCCTAGCTGCAAAAGATCACACCTTCAACTATCAGATCAAATGCTACTTAAAATCAGTGATATCAATCATACTGGTGTGTCAAATAAATATAAAGTAATCCTGACAAGGTTTATCCTTTCTTGAGATGTTATTTTTATTTTTACATATTGGCCAATTAGAAAAATTCTGTTTTTATATCTTTTGCACATTTAGGGATATGAATACTCATAAAACTAAACTATTTAACTTAAATTCTAACTAAAACGTTGGAAGTCATAAATAATGATTTGGAAGGTATGCTGCTCTATATTTGCACAAGTAAAAGCAGATACTAGACAGTATAACCAAATCCCCTTTCTGCAAACTGTCTTTAATCAACCAGTACCTTAAAAAGAAACAGCAAAAATCAGCATCTAAACAAGCACTGAGCATCTCTATTCTCCAACCTCATAAACTCTTATTTGATAACTGAAGGAACATACTAGCGATACATGAATATTCTCCACCAAATGGATATGACAAGAAAAACAGTTCTATTCCAGTAAGACCAATTCTTATCAATAACACAAATGTCCTTCTAATGAGATATCCTTCCAAATGGTGATTAAAAGCCCACATGTTACCAAGGGTGGGTTCACAAGAGATCCTCTTATTACCGGAAAAACCATACTCTTGATGTTGAGTTCAATCACAGGAACGAAATACACCATCCTCTTTTTGTTTGACAAAAATGTGACTTACTCCTCCGAACCCTGACAAAGGCAACTAATGAAAAGCCAGTAAATCAAGGCTGATTATAGAAAAGGGAAAATATTTCAGAAAATAGTCAAGAAAATCTGCTTTGGAGAAAAGCTATGAAAACTGAATGGCAATAATTACAAACTAATGAAACACAGACTCCCAAGATTCTCAGACCATCAATGTCAGAAAGAAGCTGGCCAAAATGCAAGATCACAATGAAGTAAAACACAGCATCAGGGAAGATTACCCCTTACCTTCATCCGCAAGGACTTCCGGGATCCCTCTCGAAATGCCTATCCCAAAGAGGAAAACAAGTAGAACAAAACAAAACTTGGTACCAAGAATGACAGTTATACCTATGAGACTAAAACTAAGGCACTAACTAGTATTCTATTCTGTCCCCTTTTCTCTGTGTAACAAATATAATGGGATACCCCAAACTACCAAGAATAGGGAAAGCTCAAAGGCATCAGTGAATACTAATATGAATTCCAATACTTTCTTTGGTGGAACTAGATAACTTACAGGGAAGAGCATGCATAGCTTAACTTCTACATGCACCCCTGACACAGACAAAAAGTAATTAAAATCTGTAAGTTGCAGATTTACCAGCTTTGAAACTAAGAAGACCAATCCCCTTTACAAGGGGTGGGCAAGTCACCTAAGAGCAACAAAGTTGCTGTGATGGGGGAAGAAAGAACAGAAAACAAAAGAGGTTTCTCCTGGAGACCTTTTGGCTAAGAGTTCATGAAAGTGACCACCAAACTAAGGAAGCCTAGACTATTCAAGAGATGTTTCTAATTTTTTGTTGTGTTTCTTTAGACACAAGGAAAAACCAACCATCAACCCAATGACACAAGGAGGGCCATGTAACCAGGACAAGAATTTCAGACCACTTTGGGTCTGAGATATAGGGAGATACTGTCAAGATAGTGGAAGCTTAGACTCGAGGCTGTAACACATACAGGTTGTGCCAGGTATGGCTGGAATTTCATACCTGGGATGGGGTCTGGAGAAGAAACTGAGCCAGTAGTGATGGGAAGGTGGGTCAAAAGAGAGATTGGTCTATATGTGCATAACACAGATTAGCTGATTTTTCTAAGTAGAGAAAAAAGTGCCCCAGTATCTGGATCAAATTTCTAAAAGAATTTTTGAGCCATTTCAGACATATTTCTATTTAAGGCATTTCAAACTCCCATACCTTGGTTTTCTTCGTCTTTGGTGCTGTGCGACCCTTTTCTGGACTCTTTTTCCGCTTCTTGGGTTTGGTTCTTCTAACAGTTAAGGTGATGCTTGTAGGTGTGTGCTGTGTTGCTGTGTACAACACAGTAGAAGGAGAAAGCTCCTCATCCCAGCTTTCTGTGGCACTGCTATCCCCACCTGAAAAAAGGTGATGTCGTAGTTCAGGTGCTGTCAGCAGCTTATTCTGTTAGATGTGCCCACATCTGATTCTACTAATCATTCTATCATCCATAAATCAACATATATGCCCACCTTTCTTAAGAAAGTAAGATTCTTTTTGTCACTGGCATTATGTATATAAGACACTCTATATTCCATCTACCTTTCCTTTCAGGTAGCCTGCAAGCTCTACACCTGGATAGCTTAATGAAAAGGGAATCTATATATTTATTTACTTTTGGTGCTCGCAAAGAATAATTTGACTGTTACAAGACTAAAATGTTTCCAGACAGAACTGCACATTGGTCTTGAGGACTTCTTTATGTGAAAATAGCTGTAGACATTAGGAATTTAGAATGGAGAACACTTAAATCACAAAGTATTTACATGTCAATGTGGACTTATATTATACCATCCTCTGCTTACCTGATATGTTGTCCTGCTTCCGCCGATGAAGTCTAATAACCTTCCCCCTGCTCATTCCCCTAAAGAGGGAAAATAAACTTAAAGTAGTCCTTCTAACATCATGCAGCACATCACAGCATACATGGGAGGAGTGTCTCTGCGTACACTACCCCCTCCCTCCCACCTACCAAATGTTTCCAGGACATTAAATTTCATATCAAATTCAATAGCTTTAACATCAATCTCTCATTCCTTGTTGTCAGCAATTCTCACCTAGTGCAGAGAATTCGAGCCAAGGAGCACTAAGGAATCATCTACATTAACAAACACAAGAAAGAATACTTTGAGCTTTTCCCTACTGATAAGAAATCCTAATCCCAGCAACCCAGGTTTGAATTTAGATGGAACAGGATCTTACCTGCACTTGTCACAGTTGAGAAGGAAGCCATCCTGAGAAAGACCACAAGGACACCAGGTAGGAACAGTCTCTCCTTCAGAGTTCGGGCTGTCTCCACAGCGTTCCTCTACGGGCGACGGCAGGCCATTCAGGTCAGAACGAGGGATGATCGTCTGGACAGGGGGAGAAGCAGGAGGTGTCGGAGGAGGAGGGGCTCCGTAATTATGATCCTGAAAATAAGATTTTTTAAATCAACAGTGTCCAAACACTGGCCCCTCTCTCCCCTAAAGTATGGTACATATGGAAAGAAAGAAGAAAGTAGTACCCTTTTGTTTTTTGGCTTCAACCAGGAAAGTGATAAAACAAAATGCCAAGGTCAACTGGGACATAAAAACAAGAACAATGATGCAGGGCTAGACGTCCGCTGGAGGCAGGGAAGTGCAAAAGGGGCAACTTCGTCATGCTGCATATAAACATTTCAAGAAAGTCACAATGTATAAGAATGGATTACACTCCAGGAAGATCACTGCTCTGGAGAGAAACAAGTGCATACTCACAGCATAAGGCAGTCCTCGACACCCATGCCTCTGAGTGGTCCCATAATTATGAGTGGAATACACGCTCTTCTCATTAACTGCTGGACTAGCCTCCACAGATTCAGGGCTGCACAAAGGCGAAAAGCAACGCATGATAGCATAACACCTACTCTTCTCTTAAACTAACAGTTCAATTCCCATTCTAACCCCTTCTCTATCCACAACTAGCTACTAGAATAAGAAAGAACTTAGTCAAACAATTGTTTAACATAACTAAGCCTATAAATAATGGAAGTGTTATTGAATGTGGATTTGTGTGTAACATGAAGCCAGTACAGGCAGATGTCTCAAGGCAGGCACCTGGGATACAAGGTGTCCCTAATGACAAACACAAACGTACCAGCAGAGCGGGGAGTTTCCCCTAGAGAAGCCACTCTGGGCTGGTTTAGACTCAGAACTATTCTTCTTAATTGGATCTCTTAATACTTCCATGAAACCTCACATGACATTTGCAGTGAGTGAGATGATGAAAGTGCCTTCTGCACTGCCCCAGGGACCAGGCCCTCTTCCATTCACTACCAAGACAGGATACCCTGAAGAAAGTACAGGCAAAAACAATGGCATCTTATATTTATCACACCTCTCATCTTGACGAGCCCCCAAACACCTTTCACATATTAGAATTTCTCATCCACCAATGACATGCAAGCATATCAAGGATACAATTGTTTTAACAGCTGCATGGTAATACCACATAATTTCAAAATAATCAAAACTGAACTTGGAAGCTTGTTAGTCTTATGATAAATAGTAATAGAAGCTAACACTGTGAGTCACCTATTACATATATTAATTCATTCAATCTCTGAGACTATTAAACATGGTAAACAGCACTCCCCTTTTTATAGAAAGGGAAGTAAAGCTGAGGTGGTGAGATTACATGGTTTTTCCAAGTTCGTATGTTGACAGAGCCAGCATTTAAAATAAAGATGTCTAGCTCCAAAGCCTGTTTCCTTTTCCACTATGCCTTGCTTGAAAACCAGGATTATGTTCTATCTTTAAAACTATATGAGACCTTTATTGACCTTTATTAATCAGGCTTAGTAAAAAGCTTGTTTTTTTTGTATCCTCAATGAGTGGAAAATAAACTGTTCAGGTACAATATTTAGAATCACAAATGCACTCAAATTTATAAATTCAACATAAGCTTTACTTGATAACAAAAGGGCATACATAGCCAAGGATAAAATTGTAGTGTTTTTTTGTTTTTTTTTTTTAAAGAACTTCAACTTTGCTATCTGGTTAGGTTTTAAAGAATTCTGAAGATAAATTAAGGAATGTAATTGTATGACTCGGCAGAAATGAAATGGATTATCTGTAACTTGTATTAATTAGAACAGAGATTCACCTATTGGCAAATCTAAGGATCAGTATTAACTCAACCTTGGAGATCAAGTTTTTTAGGGAATCAAACAGCTCACACTGTTTGCTTCAAATAACATTCTTCCTGCTACAAGAATATACAGTATTGAGCAGGAATAAAGTGTCCAATTCAATGTAGAGCATGAGAAGTGAGGGATAAAAGACAATTCTGAGGTATGTATCCAACTCACCTAGTTTTATGCTCCAAAACTGTGAGAAGGGATCTTACTAATAACAGCAAAGGTATTTTCTAGGTGGAGAAGAACTTTAGACACAGGAAAGTATTCTCTGTTAGTGAGGTGCATGCATTTTATTACTTGACAGTATCTGCAAGATGGGAACTGGAAGTGGGGGTGAATTGGGGTGGGATATATCAAGAATGCAGGTCAGTATTCTTGAGAAAAGGATGATCTGAATATGGGTCACTAAGAGGCAATCAGCTGAGGATTAGGAAACAGGTAGGGTTTCCTAAATGAAACCAAAAGCAGACAAGCAGTAATAAAATGAAGGTAGAATTTAGTTTCTATGATGGAAAGTTAAAAAGAACGCAACGGATTTATACACTTAATTTACTAAGTATGTTACTAGATAAATAATCCAAAGGACTGAACATATCTTTATGTAGAGATTTTATACCATTAAACACATGGGGTGAAGTAAGACAGTTGTTTTTATTAGAAATGGATTTTTTGGTGGGGGCAGGAAAAAATAAAAGTTGCATGAAATAAAAGATGGCCATGGAGATGGAGCTATGTTGGTTATATCTTACCCATCTCCAAACTGGGTAAATATGAACATATGCACTTCATGTGCAAGTCTAGGGAATAAAAAATAAAATGTATATTGTGGAGGTTAACAGGCCATCCTACTGCTTAACAGTACGTAGTCAGGCACAGCATTTTAATACATTGCTATGCATACCTAATCTAAAATTTAAACACATTATCTTTGATGAGGAAACTTACAATGTCTATACTGGTTAGAGATTAAATAACATAGGCATTGACATACACATAAATTTTTATGCATTTTTACAAACATGGATTAAGAATTTACAGTTATAAGGGCTTGAGTATATGTAGCTCAGTGGCACAGTGCTTGTCTAGCATGAGGATCTGGGTTCAAGTCCCAGGACAGCAAAAAACAAAACAAAAATATTAGGATTGCTGTCATTAGATAAATACTTCATCCATGTATGATTATAGCCTTTCTCCTATGATTAAACTGCTGTGACATTTGGTACATACAGAAAAACCAGGCTCACAACAGATATATTTCATCATGTTCAAATTGCTGCTACTTACAATGCCACCTCTTAGAAAGTGACTGAAATCTTCCTTTTGTTACATTTATAAGTTTTCTGTGTGTGTTTGTGTGTGTGTGTGGTGTATCAGTCTCCATAATGCTACAGCCAGATTTAAAATCCCATGAGGTTGAGGTATAGGTCTTTTCCTTGGTTAAGTATTTGCCCTTAGTACCAGGTTTAATCTTAGAGTCAGTAGAACAATGGATTAGGGACAATGAAACATGGACAAATAGCACTAATAATTAATACCATAATAGTACATAAGCTGTTGGATATTCTCCTCTTCATAAAACTATTCAATAGTACATAAGCTAATGATTGACATTCTCTTCATAAAACTGCTCAACAGGAAACCGTAAAATTGGTTGTGACCCCAGTTTCTCTGGGGGGACTGAATGAAAAATGTGCAGGAATTTCTAAGGTGTAACACTGTAGTCAATATATGGACCAGAAGCACTTTCATTTTTGCAGTTACTCCTGGATTCCCAGCAACATTTATGGGCAGTTATTACTTTGGGGAAAATACCAGTTATAAGAATAACTGCTTTGAGTCTTTTTTTTTTCTTTTTTTGGGACAGGGTCTTCCTGTAGCCCCAGCTGGCCTGGAACTTACTATGTAGATCAGGCTGGCCTTGAACTCAAAGAGATCCACCTGCCTCTGCCTCTGGAGTGCTGGGATTAAAGGTGTGCGCCCCCACACCCAGCGAGTCTTTTTTTTTTTTTTACTTATCTGATTCCAAATTTACTAGTCTAACCTCTTTGTTTCTCATAAATATTAATGCTGCCTACTTATATGTAGTCTGTTAACATTGCAGCAGGTTAATATCTGGCTTTATAAAGATTTATAACCACTATACTGGACTGGCTAATACAGGAATACTTTTAACTAGTTTATTTTGGGGAAAAGTTATACAATTGGAAGTCTCAGGTAATAGCATAACTAAATATTTTTGGCATGCAAAAAAATAAAATTTCTAGAAGGAAGACAATTCACTTTTCCCTAACCCCCCCATTCCCTCTTCATTTTTATGAGAATATGCTTAAAAACTTTCAATTTCAGACTACCCCAGAATATTATAAACTACTTTCTAGGGTAGCTTTAAGTCTTCCTCTTTAAGGAACCCAATAAACAGGTAACAGAAGGTAGCTTTATGAAGAAATATACATGCTCTATAATAATATTCTGTTTTATGGACGAAAACCACTATTAATGAAGAATGCCATTCAACCCAGAATTCTGGTACAGTTGATGTGCTTTGCTGAAGTGGTAAGAATTCCCAGGGACTGAAAATGGCAAGAGAAACGGGAATTAGAGCAACACCCACCTCACTCAAGAAGTGGCTGTGGGATCAAGAGTCTGAACTGGACCTGAACATATTCAAAACACCAGGATTTTTCCAGCCCAGACCCTAATCCCTGGTACTGCCTGGAATAGACTTGGCTTCTGGGGGTGTGCTGCCCCCTAGGCCCCTTGGGTCTCTTTCGCTGGACTTTCACATCCTGGTGTAGTGCCACTTCGTCTTGAAAGGTAGGGGGCTTCCACTTCCTTTCTGTAAGCAAGGAAGATTGGGTACAAGGGAGGTAAAAGGACAAGAGGGGGGAATCTGTGAGCAGGGGGAATCTTGGACAACTTAAAAGAGAAGGGATACAAAAGGCTAAAAAATTTAAAACTGAATATATAAAATTGTATAATGAAGGCCTACCTTCATTGTCATTTGGCATTTAAATTCTTCAAGAATTGAGTCTATTTTAGGGATTGGGCTTTTCGACAAATTCTGAATTCCTAATGCTGCTCTTAGCTGAAAAGAAAGTTTGGTACCACTGATTTTGAAGGTCCTCTTTCTAGGCAATGAATATTATTAAAAATAGGTGATACTGCTCTCCATATCTTCTACCCCAAAAGTCAGGAAGTCTAAGCAATCTACCCATATAAAGTTTCAGCCCCTTTACTCTAGAACAATGGGAAATACATAGGAAGAGGCCTTCAAAGAAAATCAGTTGGAAAGAAAACCTCCTATCTTTCTCCATCAGAATAATCATTAACTCTTCAGAAGCAGTGGTAACACTTACTTCATTTCAATCCTCCCCACCCATCAAAACAAAGAAAAATGTAATCATCACTTTACAACTTTAATTCTATTAATTATTTATCCAGAAAACCCTCCTTAAAAGCTTCTCCCTCCCCCAATTCCTTTGTCCTTGCAGCTTCTATAGGGGAAGGGAGGAGGGTAAGTCTAATGTTATTAGAAGTGGGACAGTTTTGGTTAAGAAAATATTGCATATCTTATTAACGACCCAGAAGAAAATCACCTCCACACAAACCTGCAGTAATCCTATTATCTAGGAAGCAGCACTTACTCTGATCCAGCAGCCATATCTGAGTAGGATGTATCTGGTGTGGTGACTCCCAGAGGGATTGCAATGCTCATGACGTCCAGAACAGAAGAGAGTGGAAATCACGGGGTCCAATTAATGGAGATGGACCACTCTGAGAGTGGGGGCGAGCTGCAGAGCCTCAGCCAACATGTTATGGACATGAGGAATCCTGCCACAGAAAAAAGAAAATATCTACTAACATAGTTCTTTAAATTTATCCTAAATGCTGAATATTTTTCTATTGTTTGAGTAACACATTTTTTATGTGTCTGTGGTATATGTATGTCAGTGTGTGGGTTCAAGTACCTGTGTGTGCAGTGCAGAGGAAGATATCAGTGTCTTCTTCTCTGACTCTTAATCTTACTCCCTTGAGATAGGGTCTCTCACCGACCTGGAAACTTAGTTTTTGGCTAGGCTGGTTGAACAGCAAGCTCCTGGGATCCACCTGTACCCTACCAACCCTGTGGTAACAGGCATGAACAGCTATGTCCAGCCTCTTACATGGGTGTTGGGTACCTGAATTTGGGTCTTCATGCTTACATAGCAAGCATTCTTTATCACTGAGCCATCCGTTCAGCCCCTTGTAAATAAAGCTTTTAAAGAATTTGGGTTTATTAGAACTAATTCCTTAATGTTTATCTACAAAGGAAGCAAAAAGTTATGCTTACTTTTAAATTTCCATTTCAATTTTTTTTCCCTTTCTGCCAGAGGGAAAACAAGAGACTGCCTGACTTACTAATAAGCACATCTTCTTCCCTCTTTAACTACCTGCCCGTCAGACAGTTTTGATGGTTATCCAAAATACCCTAGCTTACTCTTTAAATAGTTCCATTTAAACTTTCTTTGTAAGCCACAAATAAATACAGCTTTGCCAGCACTCAGTTATTTCTTCTGAAGTAAACCTCACAGATGAGGGGCTAGAGAGATGGCTCAGCAGTTAAGAGCACTGACTGCTCTTGCAGAGGACCTGGGTTCAATTCCCAGCACCCACATGGCAGCTACGAACCATCTTTAACTCTAGTTCCAGGAGAATCAGAAGTCCTCTTCTGACCTCTGAGGCATTGCATGACACTACAGGCACTACAGGCAATACACTCATACACATAAACAAAAAACAACAACAAAAAAACCCCCAAACCAAAACCAAAACCAAAACCAAATCAGACCAAACCAAAATCTCATAGATGAGATTAAGAAGTCATCTATTTTGATTGGATATAAGTATTTCTTATACTCTGACTTCTATTAAATAATTTTAACTAGTTTTGGAGGAAGATGCAATTATCCAAAGAACTGCATTTTGCTAGATATGAATAAAGACATAAACCATTGAGGCTCGGTATGTGTGGGTGCAGAAGATACGTAGAAATTGCTGTCCTCTGCTCAAATTTTACTGTGAACTTAATCTCTGCTTTAAAAGATAGTATACATGTGTGCTTTCTCTCTTTAAAAGTTAACTTCAGCCAGGCATGGTGGTGCACGCCTTTAATCCCAGCACTCAGGAGGCAGAGGCAGGCGGATCTCTGTGAGTTCAAGGCCAGCCTGGTCTACATAGTGAGTTCCAGGACAACTGGGGCTACAGGGAGACCCTGTCTCAAAAAGACCAAAAA